GTCGTAAATAGTCTTCGACTATGTTTGATACATCTCGTTATACACTACCGGCCAAAAGTTTCGAATCACCGAGCATTGCAATTTACATAAAAATTTCCAGAAAGAAGTCGGCGACTTTGAGAATTTCTTATCGTTCGAATCACATGATAAATGTAGAATTGAGATAAACTTCAAATCTATAAAAAAATTAGCAGCAGATTTAACATTGATGAAAAGTGGGAGGTGATTCCAAACTTTTGGCCGGTAGTGTATCTGTTCTATCAACTATACCTTTGCAAACAGAATGTCGTATACGGTCCGATCTATGTTCGGTAGATCTCGTATATCCGTTCCATCAACTATACCTTTGCAAACATAGCCTGATTCTTGAATGTTGTACTACATATGGCCCTTCGCCATGTACCACAGACCTCGAAATATTTGTTCCATCAACTATACCATTACAAACATCGCCCAATTCTTGACCGACTCTCAAAAATCGCCTTCCTCTGCCTATCTACCACAAGATCCATTCACGTTATCCATCGACAATCACCAGCTCTCTCTAAGTAACTTAACCAATTAGAAACGTTAGTCAGCTTTCGCCGTTCGTATATTGTAATAACACATCAGAGTAAACACAACCACGAAACGCTTGGGAAGCTCGTTCAACCATTACAGCGGCTCGTTAAAAAAAGCCTCCCGCACACGCACAAGCTATTTGATTAAAACGGATCATTGAAGCCGATATATCGCGAATTCAATTGGAACTCGTTTCGGTCCCTTTGCGAACGCCGGCCTGATCGCCCGTCCAATTACGAGGCAGAAAGAAACCGAGCCTCCTCCTCTCTCTCCCTCGTTCCTCCACGATTCGCCTACGTTCACCAGGAAATCGACCCTCGCCAGCGCGTGGCCAAAATTCGCTCCTCCAATTTCCGGCTAGCGCGCGCTCCAGAAACCGAGACTCTGTCCCCGCGAAAATTGAGAGGATCTTCTGCCTCCTAGCTATGTGTCCATCGATTGTTTAGTTCTGTTCAATTTTCACAGCCTGCAATTCTCTCTCTCTGTTCGATTCGAAGGTTCGATCAGGTTTCGTCGATTAATCACACTGCAGCCATTTAATAATTAATCAGTTTCTCAGAACGTTCCTGGAATATTCTCGGAATTCAATCGAATGTAAAATCTTGCGTGGGTGCATCGCAACAATTTTCCTAACTGTACAATTCCCACAGTCGACTCCCACGAGTCGAACTATAGCAAGGATTTAATGGCGGTCACGTGACAGTACCACGCCTTTTCCGCGACGTCACCGTGCCTCTTCTATTTAATTTTAACCGTTTTCTACGAAGATACGTAATTACTTTTACAGGTCGATACTTTCTAGAATTAGATTCTCTCCCGGTGAAGTTTCGAATCGATCGATCCGCCGTGTTATTTGTCGGCGACAGGAGTTGCAACGTTAAACCGCGGCATGCAAATGACGATTGCGCGTCCACCCGCGAAATCCTCTATCTTCGCGGATCGATCCGCGGAATTTCTTTCTCCACCGTGGAACTTTTCGCCAGGAGGCGAGGAAAATCGACGCGGAGGAGGTCCGGTTGTTAGGAGAAACGAGGGACGGGGGGAAGAACGGTGGCAGAGGCAGAACGCGCCAATTCAAATCCACGATCCCTCCATAAAATTGCAAATCGGCCGGCGCTTAATCGCAAATTGGAAATCGCCGCGGGAGCCCGTACGAAATGCTCGCCTGCTAGCGCTGTCCACGACTATCGATACCAGCACGCCTCTCATCCGGGCCCTATCGCGAATTTTCGCTGAAAAATAGAGGGACCCGTGGAGTGGTGGCCACTGGTCAGATAAGCGCGCGTTGAGGTCCATTTTTGCGCGAGTGATTCGTCGAATCAATCGGAAACACGGTTTTTTTCTCTCTTTTTTAGGAAAAAGCGACGACAATTTCTTGGTAAAGATAGCCTTTTGACAGTAGCCTGTATCATTTGACAGAATTTCGTTCGAGCATTTCAATCGGGAGTTTTCCTGAGAAATTTCGTTAGGAAATTCTGGCAACCCGTTACCTGACTGTGGCTGGAAATTTGACGGATTTCCAACTGGAAAATTTGGCGCGGCGCGCAGTGTTTCTGTTAACGAAGAAAAACAAAAAATTCGGATCTTGTACCTTAAAATGTGTAAAATTGAATTTTGCTAAATATACCAATTTATTTTGAAAATTGAGGCCAGAATTTTATTTGAAATTACCGAGAAAAATTGTATATTTCGAACATGCGTTTTTGCCGCGATATCGCAATGTTTAAATTTGATTTTCACGAGTACAATTCAACACTGTAACAAAATAGCCGAGTAATTTTAACGCAATGCTAGCAAACTGCCCCAATTTTTCACCCAATTTCGAAGTGACGTTTCATCCGACTCTTAACAAGCAAATTTGCATTTTAAGAGCCAAAGAGTGTCTAAATAATGTAAAACATTTCGAACGAACGCTGAGTTACGATTTTTAAAGCCGTGTATACTCGAAACACCGTGCAGCAGTCGCTTAATGCGTCCGCTCTCGAGCACAGTATCCGCCGGCTCGTTTATCAATTTTTCACGCGTATATTTTTCCTTTTTATCGGCCACGCTCCCGCGTCATACGCTACATCGTTGTCCGATTCGCGACCAGCTTTATTTACGATTTCTGCGGACCACCGCTTTATCCCCCGAACAATTTATCGAGCGGTCAAGAGAGCTGGAGAGAGAACGAGAAAACATGGTCTCCGTGAAATTTCGCAACTACTCAACAACGATAAGTACCAGCGAGGCCGCCTAACGAAATCGAGTCGCGTTTTAATTGCCCTTTCAACGCGACCCACCCCAGCAGCGGAAAAAATTGGAGACCAGAGAAAAATGTTGCGCCGCTGCAACGAATCTCGCTCGTAATTAGCACCGCTAGTTCGATTATATCGCTGAATTTACCCGGGGTGTTTTATACAAACTTGCCTAAATTTCGCGCTCGCTTCGACAGAGTTTAAGGTCGAAAATAATACCTTGTTAATTCGCTACGTTCAACCTCTAACGTACCACTGTCATTCGAACAAAGTAACTTCGCCGATGTACGTGTCGCACGTCGCTCGATTTTATCCCGCAGCTCTTCAAATCTCCATTTTTACAACTGTGGCAATTAACCAAGTGGATAGGTAGGGTCGACGGACGCGATGCGATGAAATAAAACAGCGGGCACGACGGAAAGTTCTCCGCGACGAGATTTCCACGCGAGAATTTTTCGCGGAGCTGGAAATCAACGAGTCGCGGAATCAGATAGGAGAGGTAGAAGAGGTGCTGGTTGGCTGGATAAATTTCGGGGAAATTAAGGATGGCGTACCGGCTAATTAATCGCGATAATCACCGTGTGCCGTGGACGGGGTTGGTGGAGAGGGACGTGTCTGGCTCGTTTCCCCTCGAGAGACCGCCGGCGAGCGAGCGAGGGAAACAGAGAGAAATGAAAAGTTCTGTAAAGTTTGATATCGCCCCCGCGGATATACTGCACGCACTTCCTGCGCCGGTGGCACGCACACCGCCGCGTAAACACGAAACCAGCCCTTTCGACGCGAGCCGAATCGACGCTGCACACGCGATCCACCTTCTGGTCACCGTCCTTCTTCCCTTCTTTCTTTCTTTTTTCTTCGCCTTCTTTTTATTTTCGAACGACGCGCGCCGGCGCGTGTGTGTACTTGCATGGGGTGAATCGTGGACCTTGGATCGTGAACTCCACCCTTGGAAATTAAATTACGATAAAAAAAGGTCGGTACACGGAGTTGTAAACCCACTAACGACAACGGAGGGGTTTGATAATGGACTTAAACTTAATGACTCTGAGCGTTTGGTAATCGAAATCTTCCTAACGATCAGGCGGTTTGCCTGATTCGTTCTGACTCGGGACGACAGATTGGACTAAATTTACTGTACGGTTGATACGTTGCCGTTTTTTGAGAATTGAATATTTTATTTTCGCTTAGTGCTTAACACGTTGACTGGTATGTCGGTCACCTGTGACCGGAGATTGTTTTCTCGACGGGGCTATAATTGTCATCAGAGACCGGAGTGCCTCAAACGTTTAGAGTAATAAAAATAATATGAATATCGTCAACTGCGAAATTTCGAGTATTTTGAATTCATTTTTGAAATGAAATTTCAGAATGAGAATTGGAATTTCGAACGTGAAAAATTTGGAATTTGTGGATGACGGGAGAATAAACGTACGCGTGCTCGCGCTTGAAATCTTTTATTTAGAAAAACCAGACGAGGTGTCTGATGTCGCTCGTGCGACTTTCGGCGGTTGACTCCTTTGGCGTGCCCTGGCTGCCCTCGTGTCTCCCCGCTTTCCGAGGACAGCCATCCTTATCGGCCCGCCGCGACATCGACAGCGACGAAAGACACGTTCGTTGCGTGCGTCTCGCAGTCTGGATTGCGTTTACAATGTGGCGCCGTGCGCGCTGCATGGGCCGCCACAAATTCAAAAGAAAAATAATAATAACGAAAATTTTCTTCTAGCTCCCTGAGCAAAACACGTAAATCTCGCGTGGCGATCAACGTGTTAATTAGTCTTTAACACCTAACGCGTGATTGTTAACGTCGCCAAAATCATTGTTGGCAAATAAAGCACAAAATGACTTGTTACACAATCAGGCCTGCAAATTTCACCCGTCACCAATCTACGCTTCTCTCCGAATAAGCGCGCGAGGTTCTCCCGATATCGTCGAACAAAAAATGGAAGATAGAAAGGTGCGTTCTCCAAGCGAAGTGTCGCCTGGCGGTGAATTCAAGAACGCGTTACGTACAAACGCAAGGTCGCCGAGTGGCTAAATAGAGAGGCGTAAACCGGCGGATAAAGAGAGGTGGAACGGAGACTAACTCTCTCGGCAGGAAGCAGACGAGAGAGTGGTAGCGGGTAGGTTTGCCGGAAAATAAGATCAGAATTGATGCGAATTGGGGATGAAGGGAAGGGTCGTTGCTATTTGCAATTTACTCACCTTGACGCGCAGAAGGTGTTGCAGACTTTGAGCTTGGCTGCTATTTAAGGGTGGATTGTCAGTCCCGAGACGCGCCACTGCAATCACGTTCTCTCGGGTGGCGTTGTACAGGAACAGCGTGCACACTGTCTGCAAATAAAACGGAGAAAAAAAAGAAAAGAAGAAGGGTACACGGGATATGTCTCGACGTCATCCAACGCTATCTCGCGTTATTAAGTTTCGCCCGGTGCCCGTGTTCGCTTTATATTCCCGATTCGTGAGATAGAAACGAGAAGATTTTTCCCCGTTCGTGAATACCTCACCCGTTTCGGCTTAAAATCTGTTCGCTCTGCTATTCAGGCGACGCTTTCGAAAAGGGATTTCTCGCGCCGGGTTAACGCAAACGCCGGGGAATATTTCTTCTCTTTTCCGTTTTTTCCCGGAGAGATGACGAAGCGGGGATAGAGAAGAGAGCGAGTTTTGTTTCGGTGTGAAGATTCGACGAGGATGACGAGAAGTGGGGTACGGATGAGATGTTTTACCTGATTGTTAACTTCTTCTCTCATGAAGCTATCGAGGGACGACACCGCGTCCAGGACCGTGAGGTTATTGTGCTGGCGCAAGAAACTCTCGTCCTTTTCGCTGTAGCCCAGGAACATGAAAACTCCGTGCGGTATTGAGTATGCGTCTGTGGTAATTCAAGGAACAGAGTTATTATCAAGCTCTGAGCCACATATGGCCAACCCTAATCTCAATCTTCACATTAACCCTTATGTCAATAACCGGGTACCCTTTTGCATAACTCTCACCTCAAGTATTTCATCTTCCAGGTAAAAGATTTAAATATCCAGCCAGATCGTTGTTATTTCGCACATTTCCTATCCGTGTTTGCCTCAAGTTTACAATTTTCTTATCAGAGAACTACTAAAATTGGACGATAAAGTAGGCCGACAATTCTGGTTATTGACGTAAGGGTTAAATTGCTACGTCGTTCGTTATATTATCAAATTTACCTAGAGCTTCATACCAAAGCGTTGTATTATAAATAAACTTGTTTTAATTCGTTTAATATTCGTCTATTTTATTTAACAATTTTCTCCGGCTCTTGACACGGAGACAATGACAATTTGGCCCCCGAACTAGGAAAGGTTGCCCATGCCTTAACGCTCTAAAGTAATAAACAATCCACGTTAAGCGTCTAAAATTTTCCACTTATTTGTAGGAACCTAGGGAAAAATATCGAGGGACCCAACGGGAATCGAACCCGGGACCTTCGGCTTAGCAAGCCGAGGCTTTGCGCGCTACGCCAACCACTCCCTCTCTATTCTCCCTTCGAGGTTTCCTATTTGGGCATGGAGGCCCCGATACTACAGTATCTTGAATTTAAATCTCGAATTATTGAAATTTCATTGGCTAATTTTAGAATTTTTAAAATTGGAATATTTAAATTTGATCTTCCTTTAGGAACCTAGGGAAAAATATCGAGGGACCCAAACGGGAATCGAACTCGGGACCCTCGGCTTAGCAAGCCGAGGCTTTGCGCGCTACGCCAACCACTCCCTCTGTATTCTCCCTTCGAGGTTTCCTATTTTGATATGGAGGCTCCGATGCTACATTACTAAGAAACACTTCGTTCGTTTCAGCTATCTCTTGGACTGTTTCACCGATGGGAAAATCGTGGTATATTCACCAGGCGAGGGCCGCATGCATATGAAACGGCCACTGTAGCAAAGGCAGGGTCCGCGATGTGCCTGATACGCCGGTGCCTCGTGGTTGTAGAACGCGAAGTCCGTTTTGCAGGGCGACGAATCCACGCAGATCGTGTGGCAGATCAAAACTTCTCCCTCGCCACACTGGCACAGCTCCGAGCACTCGGGCTCGTCCTCGCGGTACAGCTGCATCAATCAAGCACACGCTCTTTCGCATCGAGCTCGAAGGATTCTCGTGTGAATCTTCCTCGCGATACGCGGTCGAATTGCGTTCGAATCGTCGGTCGAATTTTCTTTATTTGGGAAAAAAAGATTCAGGTCCAGGAAGATTTCGTTTCTACTCGTGCTTCTTCGAGCGATTCGCGAAATTTCAAATGCTTTTATGACAATTTAGCGGTGCGAGTGTAGATTTATTTCGCGATGCTGGTGATGTGTGGTTCAAAAATTAGGAACGATCCGATTGGATCTTGGAGAAATTGAAAATCAAAGGGTCATTGGAGAAATTAGAAAAAAGGCGAGGGTTGGGTAGATGAGTCAGACTAGGGCAGGGTGGCTATGGTTCCTTTAGAATGATCAAATTTTTAGTTCGAGTTAAGCTGATCTACTGCTCTACGGTGATTCTTCTCTGCATCTTTGCGACTGTTTAAACAACTCACTTTAAACTTTAAAGCCTGGATGATCGAAACGCGAGGATCAGAATGCAGGGCGCTCGTGATTATTAAAGATGAACGACTACCGAGGGTTCGAACAACTCGTACGCTGAATATTAATTATCGTGGACGTTAAACGCGATACTTGGAGAATGGAACAGTTATCCAATCGAGAACACAGTTTGCTAATTCACGGGCATCGATCGCGTCTAGATAATGAACTCTCCCTAAGAGCCCTGGAAAGTATCTTGCGTCGTCTCTCCGTCGGCGATTCACGCGCGCGTGTTTCCATCGACGCGCATGCCGAAACTGTTAAAAGGGTGTGTTTATTATTTCCGCCGCTGTCGCCGTTTCTTTATCTCTCGCGCCAATTAAAAGCTTTCGTTTGTGTTCTCCGCTAAGCGCTCCTGTTGCAACGGAACTTTGAATGCCCGTTTACATTACATACTCGTTTGCACGACACCGAAAAAAAAAAGAGAAGAGAAGAAAAAAATAGGAAGAACAAAACATTTCCACCGACGTGTCTGTCACGGTGTCGCGTTTTAATAAACGTACGAATAACGGGTTTAATAATTTCTCGCACGGGGTATAAAAATATCCGAGTAATCGTGGGAATTATCGCGCCAACTTACGACCGAATATTTCAATCTCTTCCTGCATATTCTTTAACATGGTTCCACCCCTAATCTTCCTGGTATCCGAATCCTTCCACCTATCGAACGCTTTTCGCCCGATCGTTCGCGGAAATACTTTGCAGATTGTCCAACTCACCCTCTTGCCTTTGCCCTCCCTTATGTATTGGTGACTTTGCCTTGGCCTTTGAACCACGCAGAAGCCTATAAAGAGACGAACACACGTTCAGACGCGTGCTACACACGTTTCCTGGCAAACTGTTTTCCTGTCCCCTTTGCCGCTACCCTTCTGTTCCCTTCTATCCGCTCGCCACACCCATTTTACGTTTCGAATCTTTCTTTCAGCCCGTGTTCCAACCCCTTCGTTTCTCGCTTTGTAACACTCGACGCGTGGATTCTCGCGGCGAAACGAAAATTCTTTCTCTGTCCCGGACAGAATCCCTCCTCCGTCCGGTTCGAACGATCAAAGCGGCTACACCGCGTTTTCCATTCGGGAAATAACGCGTCACCGCGTACGCGCACTCTTATTCCCTCGTGCGACCCGTTTCCTCGCAGATTTCGTCACTCGTCGCGGGTTTCTGGGAATAATCGTTACTTGGAAATCAAAAGCTTTGGGAATCATTGTTGTTGAATTTCAGAGTAAATTTCACCTGGGAAACAAAATTTTCGGCGATGTTTTTTGGTGAATTTCAAGGTGTAATCGTTACTTGGAACAAAAATTTTTCACAGACTAATTTTCACGTGTGAAGCAAAATTTGACAGAAGAAGTTTCACTCGCGGCCCACAGTTCGATAAAGTGTTATTTTGGTCTAAAGATCACCGAGAGATTGTATCGTAAGGAAAGAAGAAAGGGTGACACTTACGAGGCGGTGTGGTAGTAGTAGTGGTACTGGGAGTCGTACTCATGGTGGTGGTGCTGGTGGTGGTGATTTCCCAAGTTTCCGTGGGTTCGGTGGTTGGCCACCTCGTCACTTCCGGTATTTGATTATCCTCCACTTGTTCGACCACGGCGACCGTCGTTATGCTAACCGGCGTCTTGGTCGTCGATAAGACGGTCGTCGTCGTGGTCCTTGGGTAATGATGGTGTTTCCTATGCGTGTGATAATCCTTTTGGGACTCCACTGTAACCATTCACAGTTTCCTCTCTTAATCTCCTCATCCTACCACATGTAATCTCGCTTCTAGACTCGTATGTAACCTTTGGTACACGATCTTTTGTAAAATGTGTCGTGTAGCACGAGTAAGAGATTTATCGAAAGATAATTCTGAGTAGTATGAGTGAGAAAGAGACTCTAACTGTGGAAAATGCGTGAAAATCGTGGCTTTAACGCAGCCAGAGTCAGTAGGAGGCTTTTAGAGTATAGGAAGCCTACTCTTAAAAAAGAAAAGGAAAAAATTGTGGGAGTCAGTAGGAGAGCAACCTTTCCTCTGTGTATTTAAACCACAGACACGGAGCGAAGGGATGAAAGCCACCTAAACCATTTTGGTTAATACCTAGACCAAGTATTTTCATCCCTTTCCATCCTAAGACCTCATCTTCACACTCTCAGGCCTCAATTTTTATTACTATTCCAAATTTAACGAAATTCCAATATTCACAACTGATAAGAAAAAGAAAAGATTCTTAACCTATCCTAATTCTTACTCTCTCAGGCCTCAATTTTTATTACCATTCCAAAATTACCAATATTCCCAATTTAACGAAATTTGAATATTCAGAACTGATAAGAAAATGAAACGCTTCCTAATCTAATCATCACACTTTCAGGCCTCAATTTTTATTACCATTCGAAAATGATCAATACTCCAAATTTAACGAAATTCTAATATCGACAATTGATGAGACGAAGAAACGATTCCAAGCTCCGTACATTTCAATACTCCCATAATAACAGCAACGTTAAGGATCGATCATTGATCGTGCATTTCGGCGCAAACGTTTGCTAAATAAATTCACGCGACAGCCGTTGGTCCAGGTTAATTTGCATCTAGCGCGTTTATCGGCCTGGCGAAAGGAGGACATCAAACCCCGCTGTTCGACCTACATTCCCTATCGGGAATCGACGAAAGACGATCGAGCAGCTCGATGCTGTTAGCACAAGTACACACACACACACAGAGTAGCGATGCACTTCTCGAGCGAGCTTCAAGTGCAATTTCTTCATATCTAAATGACTTATCTGTCGGCTGAATGCTTGGCCACCGTCGAGCTTTGCAACGCGACTCGCGGTAACAGATGTAAGATCGATAAAACGAGCCTCCTGTCGTTCTTTCAACCGTTGTAATTGCGATTCCACGGTCGTCCTTTAGCTACACACTGAAACTCGATACACAAACCGATTCTTTACTCAACAATTTCAGCTTAGCTAATATCAAACATCTACGGAACATACTATCCAATTTATGAAGCAAAAATAGATATTCCATAGAAGGTCTGCAGCGATCCATCACGTTTATCAATACGCGATATATATTTAAATAGAGGGCGACAAGAATAAGAAGGGCAGGTCGAGAGGAATCGGCACTGTCATCCGCCAGATATTAATCATCCCTCGGACTCTGGCCATGCATCGCTGTCCTAAATAATTCGTCACTCTTTCGCGCGAACGTTCAACATTGTCCGCTGGTTTTGTCAACATTACAACGCGTACTTGTAGCAAAGGTTTGCCTGGAAACGAGATTTCTTGCACTTGCTGCTACCAGAAATCGCAGGCCCAATTTGTCCAAGCAAATTCTCTTTCGTCTATCGTTAAAAGCTAAGAGAAAAAATATTGTTTCGCTCACCGACGCAAGGATTCACCCAAAGCAACCTCTGCCACCCCAAGCAATCGTACAGTTGCGTCAACTCCGTGCCTTTGCAGGCGCAGTTCGATCTCAGCTCGGTACCGAGTATCCCCAGCATCGCTTTCCTGCACTCCGCAGTTGGACCGGCACACTTCATCGTCATGCTATCCATCGCGCAGCTCTGCTCGTAGTACTCCAGCCTCATTCTACGCGGCACAACAATTAGGTTATCCTTAAGGAATATTGAAGCGTCGAGGGAAAGCGATCGTAACGAACTTTCGGGAGGGAAACCGACACTACGGAACCTCTCGTCGAGTACTGGAAATTACATTCGAAATTTCAACACAGGACCTAAGAGAATCGTGGGAATTTTTGCGAGAGGATTCGACGTGATTTCGAACTTGTTTGAAAGATCGCGTGTAAACGCTATACTCGAGATTATTCCGGTGAACGAGCGCAATTATAGATTCGTTGCAGGTTTTCTGGATGCAGGATAATGCGTATCATTATGATAATTCGAGCAATGCGAATAATATAATCGAATAATCTTCATAATTATATTGTTCAATTACTATGTTTGCCTGTGTTCAAAGGGACGAGAAATTTTGCTAGTGGAGAATTTCCGCATAATCCATCCGAGGGTGGTTTGAAAAATAACGTGAAATGTGTTTCGTACGTTTTATGGTAAAATTAGCGAGTTTCACTTTTCTGTACGAAATCGAATTAATTTGGAAATCTCGTTAATCGACCCACGGATAAATAGATTCATCTTTCTCCGGCCGTCTTTCACGTTGGATCTCTGTGTCGGGCTGCTCTCGTGGACCGTGGCGTTTTCGTAATTTCACCGAGACCGACGAACGTCTTTTTCTTAGTAATAAAGTGTTTCATTACGCAGCGAGAGACTGGATCAAGCCACGTCTCGTTGACTCGCAATTTAACTTTCAAATTGAAACGAGCAAACCCCATCCTCACCCCCCCTCGAGCCGCCAATGGTGTGGCCCAGCCAAAGCGAGGGGGGAAAAAAGGATTCGAGGCGTTTAATCAAAAGGTCCGGTTCATCCAGACTGGCGATACAATCTCGTCGTCGACGTCCTCGTCGTTGCCAGCGATAAGCTTCGTTCTAAAACGTTCCTTCATTGTTGCCCGCCACGATGATTAATTTAATACGGTGTCCCGATTAATCTCCGCCTCCTTCGTTTCTCACATTTCTCTACCTTACGAGTAAATCTAAATAATAATTTCTACAGGCTCCACCGTGACCGTCATTTTTTCCATCAAGGGTCCTTCGGTCCTTCTCTCGGTGCCGCGAGAGTTAACTACAGAGTTTGTCGACGAAAGGGGAAAATGACGGTAGGACGTTTAATTGATTAGGCGATCAGAACGTACCTGCAAGCGTTGTTCGCCTTGCAAGCTTTCGCCAGGCTGTGACAGGTCGGCATTTCCGCGCCTTCGACTCGCTGCGCGCACGCAGGATGCATCTTCTCCTGCGCCACTATGCACTCGTCCTTCTTTCCGTCTGTTTTCCTGCAAAGAGAACCGTTCGTTAGGGTTACGTGTCCATTTTCAGAGTGAAACTATCGCGAGTTGCTCTCGAGAGTGAAATCTACCGCGGAGAGAGCTGGACACAAAATTTGAGAGTATAGTTTGTCCCGAATGAAAATTTAGTTAACAAGGCAAATGGGAGAGGATAGATTAAGACTGGATAGGACGTCGTAAAGATGTTCCGATTCGTCAGCGTGACCAGATTGCGGAAACAAAGGGAAGACGCGACGATTTACCGCACGAGGGAGCACCGGTGAGAGTAAGGAGACTTCCATCTGCCTTCTCGAGGGCCCAGGCGAGTTTTAAGGGAGGAATTCCCAGGCACCGCGAGGTGGGTATTGCTCAACGAGCATTAAACGAGCCTGCCACGTATTTTATTCGACCACCAGACTCTCCCATCCTGCCTCTTTCGTTCGCTTCCCGTGCGATTCAACCCTTCGTTCTACCGAATTCTCGCGCTTCAGCAGCGTTCCTCGCGAGTTCGTCCGAATTTCACCGAGAACTCTGACGAAAGGCTTGGTTAATTACAAAAACTGAACGTGTCTCTGTGCCGGGTATGCACGTGTGACTCTAACAAACGAGTTAATCTTGTTAACGTTGTTTCAAATCACACACGGTTTCCCTTGGAACGTTCGAAGGGAAGAGTAAGAGTTCCGATTAGCGAAAGACAGGGGAAATTCCGTCTGCTCGCATCTAATATTGATAAATTCGGAGGAGAGACCGGTATCTCGTGTTGGACAACCGTGACAAAGGGCACGAGCCTGTTGGACAATGAGTAGGAGGAAGAAAGAAAAGGGGAGGAAGATTGGAAAAGGAAGAGCGCGCGGTGGAAGACGGATAGAAAGTTTCTGCATTGTTTCGCGGGCAAAAGCCACTTAAAAGTTAAAGGAGCTTCCTTCGAAAAGAAGCCTCGCTCGCGCGGAGGGATTAGAGATGCAGAACTCCGGGTATTTCCGGCCGCGAAGACCGGAGTCCTTTGTACAGGGGCCACGATC